AGCGAGAAACGAGTCGAAACTTTAGCCGCTATTGTCGTTCCCCAACAGCACTTCCACCTGAAATCACATAATCGAGAGAGAGTTTTGGATTAATGGCGTGTACGTAATTTATATGGGCGCTAGTCTGGGCCTAATTTTAATAAATGGGAGAAAATAAATCTCGTACGCATTACACGTTGTGTGTACGACGGAGTCAGCCAAATGCCTCAATTGTCAAATACTTGTATATAACAAAATGTCGGCACTTTAAAGACATTCGAACCGGAACATTCATTGTGTGAAAAAAAAAAAAAAAAAAAAAAGTAGGGGGAGATAATAATAATTGAAGCAGAGGCACAGAGGAGCAAGAACACTAAAGAGAGCTTTGTACCCGGTGTGTATACAAAGATGGTGATGCACCGTGCAGCGCGCGAGCAATGAATTTCTTTTCAGTTTCAATTGCGCTCTCCGCTACGAGGATTACCTTGAGCCGCGTCTCGGAGCGACGTTATGCACTTTTTGTCCGTGTGTGTCGCACCTTATCTAAATTAATTTTTTTTTTTTTTTTTTCAAAGTGCACCGCGCGATAACGGCCCAAACGGGAAACAAAGCGTTTCGTGTCTTGAATGTGGCGGTAAGTACGCGCGGAAGTTAATTAAAAATCTGGAGTATAGTAGTCCATGATGGGAAATTTCTTTTCTTTTTTTTTTTTTTTTTTTTTTTTCATCCTCCGAAAAATGCAAGTAGCAAATAATATACTGTTTCGACGGGAGAGTAGCGCACAAAGAGAGAAACGCTCGGCCGAGCATAATTTGCTGAAATGACAAGAAACGGAAAAAATAAGCCGTAGCCCTGAAAGAAAAGGGGGGGGAAAAAAAAACACAACGAGGAGGAGAAGCCACTTTATGTGCACAGGTAGGTATATTATATATGTATACATACTCCCGTGCAGACGCTGTTGGGACTAACACGCGAAAAACGAGGAGAGAGAGAAAAGCTTGCGTTTTCCGTCTAGCGTGCACATGATGCCCATAAACGCAATAGAGAGCGCAACCCTTTTCTTTGGGCTCTCCGGTATTTCTTCTTCTTCTCATACACGCTCGTATATAATATATGTCGACTTGTTTGAGCTCAACGATAGCCGCAAGCCCTATGCTGTATACTTATGGGGTGTACCTATACAAAGCGCGACGAGGAGCCTCTGCGTGTACTTATCAGCTCTTCCCTACTCTGTACTTGTACTCCGAGAATACCTGCGTGTATACACGTATTAACGAGAGAAAAGCAGAATAGGTTATTTTTACCCAACCCCCGACTAGTACTTTTTTTAAAGTTGAAAACTCGCGAGTGCGTGTGCACGTCAACGTGGTTCGGGTGGAGTGTATACGTATATATATACAAGGTGTATACGGTAAATGGCCCGGCTGCTATAACGAGTCGAGAAGCTTACAGAGCATGTACCTACTACCCCCCCCCCCCCACATCGCCTACCCTTCAACCCTTGTTCGCTTTTAATGCAGCGTACTTGTGTGGGTCGATGCATTTGCACGAAGGGGCTGCTTGTTTCCTCATGTGCGTGTGTGTAGGTGTGGTCTATATGTTTACCCGTATATACACCTGATCCCTGGAAATTTGCGTTTTCACAATTTTCGAGCCAACACGGAACTTTAGGTGTTTGCCTCGCTCGCAGGGGAGTAGATGGAGATACTCTGTTATACGAGGTCCTAGTATCTTGTTGTTCCTGTTGCCTGTCTCGGTTTAATATTTAAAAAGAAAAATTAAAAAAAAAATACAAAATTACAAATTGATGTTCAAGTAAGATTTAACACATTAGTCAACAGGGTTGTGCTCTAGTATATATACATACCAAATTTCAAAATAACAAAAATTATAACAAAGGCCTGTGCGATAGTGGTTATATTATAAACTAGTACGGCTAATAGAGTTTGGCCTCTTAATTATCAATTTGAAAAAGTGTAAATTGAGAAAAGATTGAAATTTTTTTTTTTTCCCATGAATTTATGTTCCTGTTAGTTTCGTTCTAATTTGGTTCAACGTTTGATAACAATATTCGCTTGGGAAGAAATGGACGGGGTCAAAAAGGCCAATGTTTAACTTTACTCGTAAGTTCTAAAATGATCGAATGTTTCGGGTTTTACTAAGATCGATAAAAACAACGTTGTGGAAATAATGTCTCAACTCATGATTTTTCCGGGATTTCGTCATTTTTGTCCCAACACACTTTTCAATTAATATTGATAAAGTAACACTGTCCCATTTGAGTGGAAATGAAAAAAAAAAAAAAAAAGTCAATCCGTCAAAACGTGATACCTGCCTTTTTCAACTCCCCACAAAAAGCTGATGCAGGCATATAAGCAAAAAGAAGCCGAAACGCTAGTAACGTACAAATAAGCCGCGAAAACGTCACCGCGTCGCATGTCAACGATCCGCGGTCGCACGCGCACGTACATAGACACACCAATCCGTCATCGTCGGGCAAAATTACCTACAAGTATACATGTATATGTACATTGATACAACCAAGAGAGAAAAAAAAGTTTGTAATCCAGTACACCCGTGCAGTTACCTATTAATAAAAATATTACATACACACACATACATACAAAAACCCGCAGATGGACTTTGGCCATTGTGAACGTGCCGACGTATCAAATATCGTTTGGGGAAAAGATGAGTGTGGGATATAGACGGTTAGCGCCTACCTTGATGTGTGTGTGTGTGTGTGTGCTGATGTGCCGATGAGGTTGCCGTATACAGAAAAGGAGACGTTTTGCCGGGGTATGTATATATATATATAAATATACATAAAGAGCCTGATGAAACGGGAGACTTTTCCGCGACACACTCGTGTACGTGGGGATTCTTGGATGCTCGCTTGGATGTATATAAGCACAAAGGGGCAGATCTGGGAAAGCTACCGTGTACACGTATGGCACGAAGGGGGAAGAGGTTCCCGCCACGGGCTTCCTTTTGATTCCAGGAAAGGTACGGGGGGGGGGTTTCTGCACTCGGTGATGGTGTAAGTGGATGATTCATCATCTGCAGTGGACGAAATTTATAATTGCGGAAAAACTGGAGAGCGAGGGAGATGGTAATTTTTTGGTAATCAATGACAATACATTTCGTAGTGTACATGTGCCTTGAAATGATGAATTCTACATCGCAGTAACCATCAAGAGTGAGAAATTTAAAAAAAGTACCCTTTGGGTGGAAACAATTTTAAACCAATTATTTATTAGTGACGGAATTCATAAGAATACACTGCACCGAGCTCCGAAAAATGTAAAAATCTTGGTTCACCGATAACTGCAGGCACGTTTAAAAGTTCAACGGAAGAAGTCTCATTAACTGTGAGAAAGTTTTTTTCTTTCCTCCCATTAGTCTAAATCGATGGACTACATACATACATGCATAATACACCGTTCGCTGATAAGATAGTTGAGATGTTATTTACGGCGCAGATAACGGTTGGATATATTTGCTCCAGAGTCATTATCATTATACTATTGACATACAAGCGCTCTCAAGTTCTCGGCTAGATTACGTAAAATTAAAAAAAAAACTCTCGAAAAAAATAAAAGTAATGCGATAAAAAAAAAAAAACCTCAACAACTACGTACACGCACAAAGTCGTTAATTGTTAAGAACAACGGAAAACGAAGAGATATGTATAGAATATTGGCGCGAGTCGTCGCGCCTCCCCTCAAGGCATGTATATATAGCATCAGCACTCCTGTACCAGTGACTCATCATCGCGTACACTCTCATCGTGTACACACGAGCACGAAACAAAAACTCACCCTCTTCCGAAGTATCCCCTTTGGAATCAGCGCGCTCCTATTTTACCGTTCGTACAGCCTATACTTACGTATACGTGCAAGTATTGCGTACACCACCAAAACAGCAAATTCACCCCCTCCCCTCTAGGCTAGATCAAACCCCCCCCCCCAAGCTCCAGGACGAATCTACCTTCCCTTTGCTCGTGTTTTTCTCGAATGACGAACGTATACGTGAAACGTATAATACACGAAAGAATCTCACCTGTAACTAATGGAGCAGTCGCGGAAATCCAGGGCTGACCGCACCACCAACCCCCTCTCGACCGTGTATTCCACCGTCGGCAATATTTATACTATACCAGTAGCTGCCCCTTCGGGATGAAAAAAAAAAAAAAAACAACCACACATCCGTCACCTTCGCTTGATTCTTCTGTATCCTCACAACCAAGAAAACTCAAGCGTTTCTTTTACAGACTCGTGTACTAACACACCGCGTGTTAAAAAGAAAAAACAACAACTGGATCCCGTCCATGCGAACATATATAAATAGAACACACAGCACAGCCGAAACCGAGAGGTATACCGTGTATAAATAATATACCTATAGGTACTGACGAATGTGACGCAAAGGAAAAGGAAGACCGTCACACACGCTCGAGGGCTCGCTCGCTCGTCGACTGGCAAGACAGATGTCACGGCAAGAGCTGATGGGGGCGAGCTTTTTCCAGATGCGGCGGCAGCGCCATTGACGGCGCGCGCATGGCACTAACGGAAGCACCAGTGTCTAAGTTTAGTCATTCGCGTGCAATGCACCCCACCCCCTCGTAGCAGCTTCAACCCCCTTTGAACGCCGACCGATCGAGTTTCAAGCGTAAAGTGCAAGCACCCCCTCGGCTATACTCTTATGCTTCAAGCTTGCGATGCGGATGGGCATAATCTTTTGTTTTGCCATTTCCTTATTGTTTAAGAGCTTTTTACTTGTCCGAAATCTATCTGCGGTGTGTTTTGCAAGCTGTTTTTTGCAGGGCACTTTTTTTCATTGGAACACAGGGAGCAGGTTTTGCGCCTTGGGGACTTGGGGCGGGAAATGAAAGCTTTACGGAAATCTCTCAAGCAATACATTACTTATAAGAAATATTTTTAATATCTCATTGTAAAGAGAGTAAGACGTTGTTTTGTTAACAAATCAACGAAATATTTATTTACAACGGTAGTCAAAAGTATACAATAAAATAAACAAAAAGAAAAAAAAAAAAAAAAACCTTTAGTCTCTCAGGCTTTCTTCTTTGATGACTAGTCTGGGGAACTTAACCACGTCTTCGATCCATTTCGCAACACCCAATAATCTCTCTTCGCACAGCTTTGGAGCCATTAACTGCAGGGACAGAGGCAGTCCTCTCCTTGACAGTTTTATTGGTATGCTGACAGCTGGTATGCCGGCCATGTTAGCTGGCTGAGTGCAAAAGTCTTGAACAGAGCACTGTGTCTGGTTGTCCTCGCTTATGAAATCACGGTAAGTCGGTGCGTCACTGAGCGTCGTTGGCGTTAGTAGCAAATCTACCCCTGACTGCCAGACATTTTCAAAATCTTGAGCTATCAGTGATCTAACTTTCATAGCGCGAACAAAGTAATCTTCGTAATTTTCTGCCAGTAGGAAATAATTGCCGGCAAGTATTCGACTGCGAACGACGTCGTTAAAGCCTTCACTCCTTGTTTTGGCATAGAGCTCTTCCACAGAAGTGTTCTCGTATGCTCTGTGGCCGTACTCTAGTCCGTCGTATCGTGCCATGTTGCTAGCAACTTCACATTGGTTTAAGACAGAGTAGCAAACAATGGAATATTCTGTGTGGGGCAAAGAAACTGGTAGTATTCTAGCTCCAGCCTCCTCCAGCAGTTGACTTACTTCAGCCCAGTTGGAGCTCATTTCTTCTGTTAAGGACGAACTTTTATATTCTTTGGGAACACCTATTCTGAGTCCACTAATATCCAATGGTGATGGAAGCTCAAAAGGTGTAAAGGGTTTTTTCAGAGTCGTAGAATCGAGTGGATCTGGACCAGCAAGGGTATTGAGCATTATAACAGCATCGTCTACTGTTCTTGTAAGAATACCAGGAACATCCAACGAATTGACTAGAGGTATAAGACCATTCCTAGAGACCAATCCATACGTGGGTTTCAAACCAACTAGTCCACAGTAAGAGGCTGGATTACGAGTGGAACCACCAGAGTCCGAACCAAGGGCTGCAAAGCAAGAACCTGTAGAAACAGCAATTGCTGAACCACCACTACTGCCACCTAAAGAAAAAAAATATAAATTGATCGAATTATTCAATATATTTTCAAAAGCTGCGAGCATAATCTGTCATATTGATATAGATTTACCAGCTATATTCCAGTTGTCAGTCTTGGATAGTGCTTCTGGGCAGTAAATTTCTTTGTTATGAAAATAATCATCAAAATCGTAGTTTTTCATGACTTCCGACCCCCAAAGATTTTTAGAAGGTCCAAAGTAAGAATCCACGGTACCAGAACCCATGGCAAATTGATCCAAGTTAGTTTTCCCAATGAGCACCGCACCAGACGCCTTTAGCTTTTTGTAAACAGTGGCATCATAGCCAGGCACAAAGTTAGCCAGCATCAAAGATGCACAGGTCGTCGGTTGATCAGCAACACAAAAATTATCCTTGACAGCAATGGGAACACCGTCGAGGCTGCCCAGAAGCCCATTTTTCCTCTGCCTCTCGTCAGATTCTAAGGCCTGTTGCTCGGCGAGCTTCGCGGTCACGGTCACGAAGGCGTTCAAAGGCTTTGTCACCAAAGTCACTTTCAATGCCGCTTTGGCCAGTTCGGAGGGCCGAATTTCTCCAGCTGCTATTTTCTGACCAACTGTCCTTATGGGCAACGTCAGGACGTTGTTCATTGTATGTTTATTTATTTATTATTTGACAAAAAACATAGCCCCACTAGCAAGAGTAGCTAACCTCTCGGGTTTTATCGATAATCTTGAAACGCAACCTCGTCATATCACTCAGAATCAGACATATTAACCACTTCTATAAGTTGACTAAAAAATCTCAACAGCCCTGTGTATAATTCAACTAGTGAACAACTGAACAGAACAAAAACACCTGCTCTGGCATTGTTTACAAACAACAAAACGGAGCGCGGCTCCCGAGCTTTTTTTAACGACCACGAGATGTCAGCAGGATGCAGTGCGATTGGGGAGGGTGAGAAAAACAGCTGTTCCGAAATAAAAATTGGCGTATGGAAACGATAAACGATCTCGGCATCAGCAGCGTCTCGGAGCAGTCGGAGTCGAAGCACTTTTTTAAGCAAAGCTGCACGACGACAACGACGACCTGTCAATACTCTGCCAGATACTAGCTTGGCAGTGGCACGCGGACTCTCCACGGTATCCTACGCTCCCCAATTAGTATACAAATATTTTTTCAAACATCATCGAGCGAGCAAACGTAAAGTGTAATTAAATTGCGAGGTGGAATGAAGTGATGTAAAATGTCCGAGGACGAATGCTAGGCTATTTCGAGGAGGAGGAAGACGGTGGTGGCGACGAGGACGACGAAGGTCGGGGTGGCGCGGCCGAGATGGTGGGCTCGTGGAGCACGACAAAGATCGAGCTTGTGACCGTGAGGAAGGCCGCGGCGAGTGGTAGAACCGCCTCGGCGAGCCTGGGCAGTGGTGCTGCTTCGGGTAAAGAGGAGTCTGTCAAATTCGTCGAGCAGTACGCCAAGAGCGTCGTCGACTTCAGCTCGCAGTATGGGAGCCCTAAGAGCCTCTGTTACACGGCTTACAACATCGTTGGTTCTCCGAGCAAGTTTCCCGATTACGGGGACTTTCCCGAGTCCTTTGTCATGGTAAGTTTTGGCTGTGATCTTTTTTACTTTTTCGAGACTTTGTTTGGCTTTTTCTGTGTTTGTCGCACATGACAATGTGCTTTGTGCAAGGGTATAATTATAATTTTGCAGTTTTTGTCAATGTGTTTTCACAGGACATTTCCGAGTGTATTTTCTAAGCATATTTATATGTGATGCGTTTTAAACATTTGTATTTGTTGAGCGTTGTTGTCTTGCCATTTATATTCAAGTTTAATGGTACCTTTTTTTTTTACAGAGAACTTATGGCAGATGGTGGGACGAAGCACCTTCAAAATCATTAGATTACATGCCTCAGAACAATGGTCCCATAGTTAGTCATGATTACATAGGCAAGTATTTCAACAGAGACTTTACTTTCTACATTTTGTACTGTTATTTAACACAGTATAGTATATACAACACTAACTATTCATCGTTAACACGGGATTTAAATACCTTTGTTCCATTTTTTTAATTACATCTTAGATAAAGGCTTTGTTGTTACAATTTTAAAATTTTTCATTAGTCATCGAAATATGTGAATTCGTTCCATCGTTTCTTTGATTGAGTCTTATATCTGTTGAAGTAAAAAATCATTTTTAATTGCAGTTTTAGAATATGACCTTGAAGTTTACCCGCTAAGAATATCGATTTACGAGATTTACAACCCAGGCAGCGTCATAGCAATATGGGCTAAAGATGAGACTGGTCAATGGTTGAAACTGTGGAATGGTCCTCCACAAATAGTGCCACATAAGCCACGAATATTTTCGCCTCCGTTACAGAGGTGTAATTTTAAAACGTGTTCATTAAGGCTGGAGTTCAATCATAGCTTGCTAGATTATTATACTCAACTGGATGCTGTACTGTTAATTGGAACGTCTCAACAGCTGATACCCAATGCAGGATTTCACGCGCGAAACTTAAGTAGTTTATTAAGGGAACTTGGAGAGGTGGATTACAGTAGCTCAGACTGTTATAACTTAACTCCTAATTATGCTAAAGTTAACGATGATTTAAAAACGCTAAAGAGCTTGTTGCATAAGAATTGTGTTCTGCATAAAAGTAAATATATTGATAAAGTTCCTATTGTCAAATTAAAGGCAAAACTAAGTTTCCACCGTCATTACATTCCACCGATCGAAGAAGCGTTTAATAGTTTACAAAAATTTTTACAAGAAGACTTTCCAAAACTCATCAGAGAAATCAATATCTCGTCATCCATAACGTTGTCAGAGTCGGAGTCGGAAGTAACGGAAGTAAATGTTAGTAAAGACACCAGCTATTCTTACTTTTCTTCTCTACCTGTAAGTATTAGTCAAAGTAAAAAAAAAATCCATTTAAGTCAAATTATACCGTTAAAATATATTTATTCCTTATGATATTTAACAGGATGAAATCGTGGTAAAAATTTTTAAATATTTAGACCTGAGGTCTTTATGCCGATGTAGCCAAGTCAATAGACAATTCAATACAATCGCTGTTGATGCTTCCTTGTATAAAAGGCTCAACTTCAAACCATACTGGCACCTTATAAACGCAACTGTTTTAGACAGTTTTATCACAAAATGTCAGTATCTTCAGCGGCTCGATGTATCTTGGTGCGGAAACATTCAACCAAAAGATTTCATCAACTTCTTGAAAGCCACTGGCAGCTCATTATCACATCTAAGGCTTAATTGTTGTAGCTTTGTTAATAATGATGTCATGCAGGAAATTTCTATTACGTGCACAAATTTAAAGGGTAAGTTGCCAGTTACAATATTCATTCTAATTATTTTTTATCACAATAATAATTCTATATTGATGATTTTAAATCATTACAGAATTAGGACTGAGGAGTTGTAATTTTATACACGACTTTGGTTTTGTATGTTTAAAAAACTTGAAAAACCTTGAAGTACTTGACTTGTACAAAACTAACATCAATAGCGAAACATTGTGCAAGATACTTCGTGAAAATACGCATCTTCGGCATTTAAATTTGGCATGCTGTGACGACTATCCGTTACTTATGGATGAGGTGGCTGAGGAGTTGGCCATTTCTTGTACGATATTGGAAAGCATAGACATGTGGAAGTCCCCGACTCTTACAGTTAGAGGTATTAGAGCCCTGTCAAACTGCAGTAATCTTAGAGAAATCGATTTTGGGTGGTGGTAAGTGGGAAAATTTTAATAATTTGATTGCATTTCATTGAAACAGGGTACTAAAAAAAAATTTTTTCTTGTAGCAGCGGAATTGGTGCACCAGGGGACTCCTTACGAGTACTTTTCAATTCGTGCAGAAATTTAGAAAAAGTATTTTTATCGGCGTTTCGTGGATTGACCGATCGCGACCTCGAACCGTTGCTCCTGTGTCGCAACTTGAAGCAATTAGATTTACTTGGAGCCAATTCGCTTAGTCCAGAAATATGTGCAAGTCTACTTAGCTGTCTACCACTACGTATGTTAGACTTGAGTTTTTGTGATGGAATAAGCGATGTTAAGATTCAAGAGTGGAGACAAAATTATCCTCACGTGTCGATAAAACGAAGCTCTCAAGTATGAAGGGCTGAACGGAGATTTAGATGTTAGATAATTTAGGATATTTTGAAGTCATCAGAGTTTTGGTGTTTAAAGTGTTAAGTATTGTAAAATTTAATTTAAAAAATGGTTGTAATAATTTGTGATGTGATTTTTTCTTTTTAAGTGTGAAAAAACATGTGAAAATCCGGTGGTTAAAATATGATGTTTGTGTGATTTTACGATTGAATTGTACACTTAATTCTTAGTTTAATTTTGATAGACACCTTAGTTACTCGAGGCTATAATTAATTTTTTTCAAGAATCAAATAACGTGCTTTTCTCAAAGACTGCAGCTAGACTAAGGTGCAACTATTTTTGTATTATTTTAAGGAAACAAATGTCCCCAGTGTATTTATTATTTACAAACTTTCTGAGTCTTAGGAAGTAATAAGAAATTTTTTTACAAACTTTTTAACGTGTTTTGTAATAAACTAAAGTAACAAATATTTGTACACATAAAATGTAATTTTTAAAAAATTATAAAGTAAAGTCATGATAAATTATATAATACACGTATTTACATGAATGCTGTATAACATCACTCTCCACTAACAACCGTCATGCAGCTTTGCACAGGCATTATAACTTAAATTTAGCACTGTTAACTACATTGCCGCTACTCTTGCTTTTTCTCTATCTCTCTCTAATTTTTTTTCCATTGATTTGAGTCTAGATTCATAGAGTTTTCTCTTTGGTACATGTTCTACGGCTTTTTTCCAATTTTTGAATTGCGCATCCAACATGATGCCCATTACTTGATTGAGAGTCAAATTTTTGTTTGAACCTTCGCCAAAATGCAAATAACGATCTAAAGGTAATTTTGCTGTTCGAACGCCCAATTCTTTTGCCTTTGTCAATGAGACAGGTTGTTTGTAACTCTGAGATAAAAAAAAAAATAAAAAAATGATGCTTAAGACTGTTTTTACAAGTCAATGAGTGAAAGTATACAACTTACCTTGTCAACAAAAGCTCCAATGATATAAATTGAATTGCGATCATATTCCTGTAGTGTTTCATTACTGTGCCCTGTTAGGTAAACAACTGAATCTTTATTAAAAAGTTCAATAAACGACTTTGATGATACAGTCCATGGAAAGTCATCATCAAATAAGCTTGGAATACATTTAACTAAACTCGTCATCAATGGACCATTTAAATCAACATTACATAAATAAACGTTGAATGGAAAGTCATGCACTCTGTTGATGGCATAAGATTCCATGATCTGTTTGGCACAGCTTCTGATTTCTTGAGGCCTCATGTATTGTTCATAGCTGAAATCAAAAACTATTTTATTACCCCACATGGTAGATTTAAGGCCATTCCATTTCCACAATTTATTCATCGTCACGTCAGAAATATGTCTAAAAAGAAAGTTTCTTCCAATACGGTACTCCATAACATCAGTCCTAACTCCGGCTTCTTTTCTCTCTTGCTTGTGTATCTTTAACAGCGCGTTCTTCTCTTCTTTCGTCTTTTTGCGATTTTCTTTTGTCCTTTCCAATTTAAATAAAAACTCAAAGTATTTTCTGGACAAAGAATGAAAAAAACAAATGACTCCAACTTTTTGTTGAAATCTTAATTTACAGATAGATACCAACTTATGATAATTACCTCCTGTTTTTTCTAGATTTTGTGATGAGGATGTCCAACCAGTGCACAGGAGTTAATTCTGAGGGCAATTTTACACCATTCTGTTTCATAACTTCAAGTTCTAGTTGCACTACTTCCATAAACTTTTCAAGTTCAGGATTTTCTTGTATCATTGTATTAATTTTTCTTAGAGCATCCTCAGTGTAACATTTTTTTTTCTCCTGAGAATCCTTGGGTATATACAATTTTTCTTCTGTTGCATGATGAGCAGATTTATGAAAACTTTTGCAAGGTAAAATTTTCTGCCCAGCTAGGATCAAAATTGGAGAAATTATCTTAAAATTTTTGTCCTCCCTCGATATTGCTATAAAGTTAAAAAGACCGCGTATTGCAGGTAAACACATTTCCAGGTGCAATGAAATTACGTCAACTTGGATAATTGAAGTATCTGGAAAAATATAATATAATATAAAACATATTGCTCAATTAAAATAAAAAAAAAAAACATCTGTTTTAATTGTGTAATTTAGGTACCTATACTGTACTTATATACCGATTAATTAAACAATCGTGTACGTTGTTGACGTAATAACCTCGAATGCAAAGTTCAAACAACGACGAGCTGTAGAAAGTTTTCAGTCAGTTAATTAGTAGTTACTTTCCGAGACTGCACTGACTGCAGGAACATCTGCGGGAAATGAAAATGCAAAATTGATATATATATAGGTATTCAAAAGCGTTCAAAAGACATGAGGATGAGGTCATGATGAGAACTGCATGCACTGCAGAGTGCAGAAGTGCAGTGTACTGACGAAGAAAAACACAAGGTCGACGGAGCCTATAGAGAAGTGCAGCCCTCCCCCCCAAATCTGTCTCGCTCACCAATTTAACCCCAAAAACTTAGTTGTTGCTGTCCGATTACAGAGAGCTCTCTCCCATCATCGATTGGTCCAAAGTCATAAATGTCTTGATCTCTCGGCAAATCAACGACGATCCTGTTTATTTTGTTAGCAGTGTTAGCTCTGTGGTGTTAGCAGAGAGCAGCTGCCGATTGTACTATACTTGGATATTAAGTATAGAATAGGGGGTACAGATCGTGTTGAGGATGCGACCGTCCGACCGAGAGAAAAAAAACCTGAGCAGCGAACAATAGTATGTACAACGAGTCAGAACATGCGTAGATATTCCCCCATAACTTTCGCGCAACGAGAATGTGTGTTGTTACTTAGTCTGCTTTGCCGTTAGTGGTTGCAGTTGGTGTACTTTAAGCGGGACGCAACTACGCGAGATGCTGTCGGTGTTGTGAGTTATAAAAGTTGCGATAAATCATTAATTCTGCTGTTAAAATTTGTACAAAACACGTGCTGGACACGTGCCGCGTAGAAGGTGCTGATGGTGGTTGTGTTTGCGTTGTTGTTGTTGTTACCTTGGAATGACAGACATCGACATCGACGACAGTACAAGGATGCAGCTCGACAAGATAATTAAGAAATTTCGCAAACTAAAAAATGTAAGTAGGTACTTCAATTTTCGACTTTTTTTTTGCTATTCCCTCAACGTCTCAATTAGTCGTTTCATGATTCCGTGTTTCAGGAAAAAATGGCTCTCACCTCTGACAACACAGAGTTGAAAGTTGAGTGTCGAAATTTAAGAGAAAGGCACAACAAGTCGGAGAAACACAGGCATACTTTGATTAAATTGTGCAGCGAGAGCACTCAAAGAAACAAAGCCAGGATACAGTCCCTCGAGCGAGAGAACAAACAACTAAGAGATATCATCGATGATCAGAACCAGCACATCGAAGAGCAGTCGAAAAAAAGTAATGTGTCAATAGAATTGAGAAAGCTTAACTTGTTCGTGGCATCGATAGTTTTCATAAGTGGTTATCTATTTCAGTTAACAAACTCAGCAAAGATGTGGAAAGGTTAGGAAAAGGAAAGGATGAGGTGAGTAGTCTTAAAGCACAATTGGAGAAATTGAAAGAGTATGATAAGCTGAAAAACGAGCTGAAACTGCTGAAAAAAGAAAAAGAAGAACAGAGAAGGTTCTGTGAAAATAATCATATGAACAAACCAAAAGTAATAGATTCAAAGTCAAAGCTAAATCTTTTAAAACAACCCAACTCAGTTAGAAGACAGCTAAGCTTTAGCCACCCATCTTTTGAGAGCGACACAAAAGCTTCGAAAAACAAAAGGAGGGCTAAATCTCTTTCACAATTACGGTATGTCATATTTTGTTTTTATATTACGTTACATTATATCAATTACAATAATTGTCATCTTTATTAAAACTCACTGCATGCATAACTGTCGAAATCTCAGGTAAAAGTATGATAGTTGTTTGTAGTTGTAAGGAAATAGTATAGGTTTAAAAAATATTTAACAGACAAATAATATTTATTGCACAAAGATTAATCATTGTTATACATCATACAGTAATCTATATCTACAATGCTAATTTTCTATAGTAACAATCATAACATTTCTTTAACCAAAGTAAGATTTCATAGCCAATAATTATAATTCAATATGATTTTAACAGTTGGGCAAATCTTGATATCCGTATTAATGGACGTTTGAGCCAAGGAGAAGATTGCAACACTAGCTCAAAATCATCAAAAGAAAAGAAGAGAAAATTATATAGTTCTAATGATGATGCTACGGTTGACATAACCAGTGACGAGTAGTATTTGTTAATCAGCTCTAGTTGTTTTTTTTTTCCTCTCTATAAAACTAAAGATTTTGTAACATAGCTATATATCTCTAGCAACTATTTTTCTACTTGAAAGATTACTTAGCGATATAATATTTGTATTATAGTAACTATTAGATTCATAGTTAAAGAACCTTATATTATGTACAAAAAAGTAATTAATTAACTTTGTTTTGGTAATTACTGTACAAAACAAACTATCACTTTTAAATCTTTATTTGGATTGTCGAAGCTTCAATCCATGAGTCATAAAAATTTTATATTACGTCAGTGTAAAATTTGACTTTCAATCCCATGGATTGATTCACAATATTGATTGCGCGACAAAAAAAACATTTTTGGAATAATTAACAAGCACCAGAAAATTAAGTTTAAGAGTGCCTTAAATTTCAAAATGCAAATTGCTAATAGAAAAATTAATTCGCTTTCGGAGTGAGTGATGGACGGCTTTTATTACTTGCTAGCAATCTTTCGGTGCAGGGAGTTCCAACTATTCGTATAGTCGATCTTTAAGTGGCCGTAAGCACTGAAACCCATGTGCGAAGGTTTACGGTATCTTGGCACGTCGACTTCATCGACAGATGTCTCCTCCTCTGGATACAAAGCGATGTTGCGTGATCTTCCGTGATAGTAACACTCCTCCCTGCAAGTCGGTACACACGCGGTTAGGATTGTCAGATAATATTAAATTGGATAAGATAACGAGTGATGAAATCAAATAATATATGCTGTTGAACAATTTAAGTATAGTTTCCGTGAAATTGTTGAGATATGTAATGAACGAATGTGAAATTTGTCTGAGGAATTACTGTATTTGTATCGTGAGGCTATTTTTTGTCTATTGTTTAAAGTAAATTCCTATTGATGACGGTTATCGATAGTGTTGATTTACTTCATTTTCATCCGTTTCCGAAAAACTATGGTTGTATGGTTTTACAGATAATAATAATTATTATTATTATTGTTATTATTACTATTATTTGCGATAATGTCTTACTTGTCCTGAAGAAAATTCAAACCCAAGTAATAAATTAAAAGTGGTCACTCTCATCTAAATATTTTTAAAAGTATTCGTGTATGAGTATAGTGTGAAGTTTCGTTTGTCCTTGAAATGAATAAATGATATAATTTTGTAAAACTGCGATTCACCACATTTATTAACATATAACTGTAAAAAAAAACATTTCTAATTTCCGCCTCCAAAAAAAAAATCTCACCTGGAGTAATCACTCCTGGACGGCACAACCTTGCTGTGTTTCCTCCTCATCATAAGTTCCCTCGTCCTGAGTTCCTCGACCTGCTCGAGCTCTGTAAAGAAAAAAAAAATTTAATTACGCGCACGTGCCTATATAATAAATTCGATATTATGGTAAAATGACACTGCCAATGTATGCAATAGGTATTCAATCAACATTCCACCGAGCAACTACCCTTGCGACACTCGACGACCAAACGTCCTTTGCAAAAGTGACGATTACGTGCCAAGACTATATTAATTATTGATAGAGGACATGGGGGTATCAGCTGGACTCATCGAACTTGAAAAAAATTAAATGTCATGTTCTACGTACGTTTGTTTTATTTTACTCTTATATTTTTTTCTTTTGCATACATCTAGATATCGTAATACATCTGCCTTCAGGCACAGCGTGCAGGTCGTGAAAGGACAACGCGTTTTCATGATTTATTCATGCGCGCGGACTTTGGTTTTTTTTTTTTTTCTCTCTGTCTACTCGTTGCGTCTCGACTCTAGCATCTTTGATCGTTTTAAAATCGTCAAAGACCTCGCACAGATAGTTATTTTCCGCAGCTGTACACACATTGTAAAGCACCCCTGTAAACAGCGCTGGCTGTAGAGTATGCATCAATTTTCTAATGAGATGTTAAAGCGAAGTAGGTCCACACACGTACACTGTATTGTACAGCGACAAACAAATAATGAGCATGGGTATCCAGTGCCGATCGGAGTCTCGAAACGCAGCCGTGGTTTGTTCATGTTAAGGATGTACCTATGAAGTTTCTAGTTACATCAAACTGTCGATACTACCGTTGTTATATTTATACGTTATGTAAGCACAGATGGGCAATGATTGAAGTCTAAATGACTTGTGCAAATGGAGCGTCGTCCACTCTACATAATTACACCATCGTCATGAACCGGTGCAAGGTGCACGCGGAACAAAAACGATGAAATTCGCGCGCTCGCGTGGCCCGTCCATCCATGGAAGCAATCCAGGCCCAACCACCAACAACCTCTTTTCTCTCTTTTGCCGATTTTTTTTTTTTTATTATTCTCCGCTCGTACAGTACACTCGCGCGCGTGCAGCTTTCCTTTGTTGTTTCCATACGCGTATACGCGTCTACGCACACATCATACGAATTAGGCATACACGGCCAAAGCACCGATGTGGAGCTGCGTTTATTTCGCTCGGAGAATTTCGATTTCTTCGCGCGTATGTATATATACCCACACCGGCCACAACCCATCATTATCTTCGTCATCGGGTAAAACGCGCAGGAGAGCTATATACATACAAGTATACTCTTCGAGCGGGTAAAAGTGAATTTCTGCAGCTGCAGCTCTATTTTTCTTCTTTTCCATCATCGGCGCGGCCAACGAGTCGATTATGTTGTTTTTGTTGTTCCCTCATTTCGCGCTCGATTATTATTTGAGGAAAATCCGATCGAGAAATCGATTAGCCCCGTAAATCGGTGAAAGTGTCGTTATCCGCGATAAATCTTTTTCCACAGGTACAAGAATTTTGTTTTCTTCCCATACTCGATCGGATTGAAAATCAACAGCAAAATGTTGTCTTCGCCACTTTCGTGCGTATACCATAAATATGTACTTACCACCGGTGAATTAATACATTATAAGTTCGACCGATGCAAACACGCGTCCTGTAGAGCCTGCACTACATTATATGCGAAGAAACAAACACTGTATACGCTCCTTTCCCCCCCACGACTCGTTAGCCAACAAATCAAACAGAGGAGCCAAGTGCACGCAACGTTTTTATATCTTTACCCATGGAATACCAATAACGTATACGCCAGTAAAAATCCTCTGACGAAAACACTTTCTCGCGTTTATACACGTATACAACATCGCTGTCAAAGGATCGTTTGGAGCGCACCCCGTTTTTTCATTGTTTCCCCTTTGTCTTTGCCCACCAAGTATACACGGGTGGATGAGCCGTGAAACATAGTAATGTCAATGCTACGCGCTAAATGGCTTCCGTCGTTCAATTTCGCTTTCAATCATCCTCCTCCGGCTGTTATACGGATACCGATTTGTTTCGTTTGTACATATAAAAAAAGTGAGTAGGTGTACAATATCACGTAACAATCGGGGACATGATGCTTTAGTTTTATTTTCAGACAGATGTCAAGGGAACCAAACGAAAATATCAAGAGGCGATTCTGTTGAATAAGTCCGCGTGGTAGGGTATTTGCCGTCAATGAAAGTGGACAACAGCGCGAGCGAGGAGACCCACGGCATTTTCTAACGCTAATATATAAACACACATAGGTACCTGTTGATGTCTTGTCCAAATTTTTAAGCAAAACTCCACGTGCACTTTTCAAAGGGTCTTTCGCTACGTGTATAGATAAAGAGATCGCCTACACGCAATTACACAGACGCTTGGGCGTATCGGTCGGAGGAAACCTTTCGAGGACGACCGCGCTATTGCTGCAACGGCGGCGCCTTTTCCTCGAAAGAGAGAATAGCAAAAAAAAAAAAAAACATCCCCGCCCTCGAGTCCGGTACGATATGATAATGCATGCGCTCGCGATCGCGATATGATTATCTCGTCGTGGCATCGCATTGGTACGGAGGAATATAGACTGGCCGGCTCATTAGCATTATTATCTGCCCTCGCGAGTGCACCTGAAAAACGACGAGAAAAGCAAAAAAGAAAAAAATACAGTCATCAATATGCGCGTTAGAAAAGGTACGTATTCTTTGAAATCTTTTTTTTTTCTCCGGGTACACGGTTTTTTTTTTTTTTTTTTTTTAATGCCACAATCGTGTTGTCTCGTTGCTGTTGCGATCTCCGTATACCTCTTATACATAGTAACGATATAGAGATGTTCGGCAAAAAGCCGCACACCGTATACGTCAGAGATCATGTACGGGAGGTCCTGCACCAACCATAGTCGGATGGTAATTAACGACCTGTTGGTACACCTCCGGTCTGCCTCCTCTCCCGGTTGGGATATCGGTTTTTAATTAACCGATTGATTGATTGGTTTCTTTTTTTTCCTAAATGAAAAAAAAAAAACTTAATTTTTCAAAAGTCGAAAACGATGTGTGCAAACTACGATCTATACATACTTACTCCGCGGATCGGGAGGGAGCAACGGAAACCAGCCCGTATGGGCGACGAGAGCGCGCAAACCTCGAGATCCGCTATCCGACAAACAAGCAACGAGTTCGCGTTTGCCGATCGCAAAACCGTAAATCCCGATTTCTTGTATTTGCACACGTGTAGACCGAGTCGAGGGCGCCGATTTCTCTATTAAGATGCACGTTTTGAGCGCACCAGAGATCTCGCGGTACAGTCTAACGATACTCTGTACGCGTGTGTACCTATTTATCCTTAAGATCGAGTCTCTGTACTTTTTTTTTGTATACATTTATACACAACCAAGTCGCCAGAACCGCTCTCTCAGATGTTGCGCAAAAGAATCTCGCTTATGTGTACACCTATGGTATACGTGTATATAAATGTGTGTAAACATGAGCGAGCGATGGCCGAATCGGCGAGTTTTATCGTCGCGTCGGCACTTTCGAGATGAAAGGGTATTTTTCTGAAATCTTCTCCTCTCGCCAATCATGACGATTAAGCCGTACGTTTTTTTTTTTTTTTTTTTTTTACGCACTTGTTTGAAACTTATAACACATATCTTTTATACGTGGCAGGGAAAGTGCCGGCCGTAAACTTATACGTGTAAGAAGATGCTACACAAACGGTGGCCCGATGGCGCCTTACAAATAATTAAGACGTTTTTTTTTTTGTTTTTATTTTTTAACAGATTCAATGATCAATTTCGTATATAAAGTTTCGTTGCCGATGTTAGGAAGGGTTATCCCCGCATTTATTCATTTTTTGTTTATAACTTGTCGAATAAACACTCTAACGCATATCTCGATGTTTTTTTTTTTTTTTTTTTTTTTCTCAATGCGAAAAGGCGTAATCTACAATAACGATAAAATTTAATATACTTATCAAATAAAAATAAAATCTAGGACCAAAAAACATCACACGTAGGTAAACACCGTTGTAATCTCTGCCCGTTCAAATTCACCAATTATACCAATAACTGTATATCATCCATCATCAATAATAGGTATATAGTCGAAGCAAAATACGATTGCCAAGTGCACGCCATTAGAAAGTGGCACCTTTGGCAGGTGCAGCTGCTCATGTAACGTATAAGGTGTGACCCGGAGATGGGCCTTATATACCATTCCCCTTGTACTTATATTGCATCGAAACGATATTACACGATACACTATATATACTGTCGAGGTGCACATCCAAGGCGTGGCGATAATCGCCGTCATCGGCAGCAAAGAGGCTCGGAGGAGGCAGTTCGCGTCTTTGCGCAATGCACTTCTATATACATAAACCTAGGCTGCTTATGGAAAGGTAATTGGCATCAGTCGTCGCTTCTGCCGCCGTATGAGGTGAATTGTACGTGGGAGAGAAGAAAGAAGGGAACCACCATGTGCATCACGTACAAATGTACAGGTGTGTAACAAGAGTGCTAGGTCCCGAGAGCTGCATAGGATGACCCTGTAAGCTCTACTTAACGTGTGATTTGATTTTTATTCCAACTTTCCTGGCGATTGCTCGTGTGGAAATGTCCATACAATACTTTACTGTTGGACCGTGCACAGTGGGACGTGAGAAAAAAAACCTACGCTACTTCCCTGCATGTTTTTTTTTTTCCAAGACTAAATTGACGTGCGGCAAATTTTTTTTTTTTCTTTTATGAAAAATATACCTATACTTATGCACATTCTCATACATGAATTACAATAAAATGCAACGCAAGAAGCGCACTGACCCGCAATTAGGTAAAAAAAAAAAAAAATCATTTTAGTGGAATGTTGAGAAATAAAAAAACAGTTGTTCCGCGAAAGTAACAATGTATAGTGAAACCATCGCGAGAAAAAAAAAAAAAAGTCAACGCAACAACCGATTTGTATCAGATCGCGCCACTTCCAAGACAATGCATGCATATTACGTTCGTTCACCCATGATCGCCTAGAGAGATGACGATAGTGATTATAACCA